AGAACAGACAAAAAAAATACTATGAGGGATAATGTATTAAGTTGTTCATTAGCAGTCAGGGCTATGCTGATCAAGTCACCATTTCTCATAGTGTCCATTTCACTTCAGGAGGTTTCCTTTTTGGTGTTCAGTCAGTTGTCACCAATCAGGGAGAACATATGGTATTTGTCCCTTTGGGACTGGCTTACTTCACTCAGCATGATGTGTTCCAGATTCCTCCATTTTGTTGCAAATGACTGGATTTCCTTGTTTCTTACTGCGGTATAGTATTCTAAAGAATACATATCCCATAATTTCTTTATCCAGTCTACCATTGATGGGCATTTAGGTTGGTTCCAGGTCTTGGCTATTGTGAATTGTGCTGCAATAAACATTAGGGTGCAGACCGCTTTTTTGTTTATCAATTTAAACTCCTTTGGGTAAGGCAATAAGATCTCTGTGAGTGAGATCCCAGTGGAAAGAACAGGTCTTCAAAGAGGGAGGTGCCTTTCTCTGAAGGGAGGAGAGAACCTCCACTTTGACTATGACCGTGTCTAAACAAGATAAGAGTTGGAGAACTCAAGGGGCTTCCATAGCCTTGGAAACTCATGACTGGTGCATAGGGAGATTACTGATGCCATAAACAGGAGTGTCAATTTGTAAAGTCAACAACAGGAGTCACTGTGCACTTACTCCTCATGTAGGATCTCTGTCCTTAATGTGCTGTACACTGAGGCTTAATGCTATAACGAGTACTCAAACAGTATATTTCACTTTGTGTTTCTATGGGGGTGCAAACGATTGAAATCTTTACTTAATGTACACTAAACTGATCTTCTGTGAAAAAAAAAAAAAGAAGAAATTATCAATTCCCAACTTGACTCTCACTGGGATTAAACATGACAATAGGTCTGATCTGATTTCATCATCATTTAAAAAAATCATCTATTATTTTTCACTTTATGTTTCTGTGTGGGAGCAAACTGTTGAAATCCTTACTTAAGGTATACTAAGCTGATCTTCTGTATATTAAGAGAATCGAAAATGAATCTTGATGTGAATGGAAGGGGAGAGGGAGTGGGAAAGGGGAAGGTTGTGGGTGGGAGGGATGGTATTGGGGGGGGAAGCCATTGTAACCCATGAGTCGTACTTTGGAAATTTATATTCATTAAATAAAAGATAAAAAAAATAAAAAATAAAAAAATAAAAAATAAAAAAAAAGAAAATTCATGAGAAGAAAACGCCGAACCATGAAATTCTGTTTCATGCTCCAAATTGCAAAATATATTACATGAAATTAAAAAAAAAAAAAAAACAAAGTGAATTCATGAAAGAATCAAATGGCCAGGTGTTCAAAGAATGGCTTTCCCACCAGCAAGGGAGTTATCCCTATGTTAATTGAAAGATGAACCATTTCTCGCACAAGGTGGCATTTCTGTAGAATGGTGAGGGGGTACCTGCAAAGAGTAGGGAACAAATTTTAGCCCCAATATGGCATGATCAGATCTGTCACGGCAATTATGAAAGCAGGGTCCTCTCTGGGACAAAGGAAGATTTAACCCCACTTTGTCTCTCTATGGCTTCTGATGAACTCACTTGCTCCCTCTCCTTCTCTCTCTCTCTCTCTCTCTCTCTGTGTGTATTAAGGATTTATTTATTTATTTGAAAGAGTTACGGGGGGGGGGGGGAGAGACAGAGAGAGATTTTCCATCTGTTATTTTACTCCCCAGATGGCTGCAAGGGCTAGCACCAGGCTGAAGCCAGGCGCCAGGAACTTCATCTGTATCTCCCATGTGGGTGCAGAGGCTCAAATATTTGAGCCATTTTCTGCTGCTTTTCCCAGGCTATTAGCAGAGACCTGGACAGGAAGTGGATCAGCTGGGGCATGAACCAGTGCCTGTGTGGGATGCCAGAGTGGCAGGCAGCAGCTTTACCCATTATGCCATAGTGCCAGTTGCTAAACTGAGGTTTTGCCCATGCCTAATTGTTGGAGAGCAGGTTTCCAGGCATGGAGTTCCCTGTTTATATCTACCTAACTACCTGCTTAAACAGGATGAGATGATACCTCATTGTAGTTTTAATTTATATTTATCTGATGCCACTGATGGTGAACACTTTTTCATAAGCTTCTTGGCTATTTGTATATCTTCTTTTGAGAAATGTCTGGTTGATTTGTCTATTTTTAAAACTGAACTGTTTTTATCACTTTTGTTTTTACTGCTGACTTCCTTATATACTCTGTATATCAATCTCTTGTGAGATGAATATTTTGCAAATGTTTTCTCCCTTTTTATTTTAATTGAAAGAATCAGAGTTTATTTGAAAAATCAAAGTTAAAGTTTCTTTAGCTAGGTTGAAAATGCAAACTCCAAGCCAACCACTCAGTTGCCTGATTTGACTGTTCTGCAAGCTAGAGTTTGATTCTAGATTCTTACACTTTTCTTACAGGGTGACTGCCTGCATTGAATCAGTTTTAAACAACATAGATTTATGTATGGTTATCAATTCCACTGAAAATCAAATAACACATCATTTAAAATAGAAAAACACCTGGTAATAACAAACAAACTTCCTTACGAAGGGGGTATATTACATCCCCATATTTGTTCCCTCCCTGTATGTTTCTATATGCAGGGAAAGGCAAACAATGGGGTCACTAATCACTATTCCTACAATGGCACTAAGACATAAAGCTGACTACTTCTTAATGTACAGTAGATGTTTCCTCGCCACCAGCTGATGTTCTATTGGTTATGGTTGAAGTTTGCTGAAAGGTCACACTACCTGGGAACCAGCAGTGGGGCCTCTTCCTAAACAGCAGCTTCCAGGACGACTCAATTCTCTGCATCACCACATAAGTCTGTATTAGTCTAGCATTTCCTGAGAATGCTTTTCTATTGTCTCTCAAATTCTCTTCCTGTGACACCCATTGTATAAATGTTGATTTTTGTCCTCTTTTGGTCTCATGAATCAATATCAAAAGAAGGTTTTCAGGTAGGAGTAAGGACTAATACTTCTTTCTCATATGTCCCTCAATGGTTTGCTGGCCAATTTTCCATACCACCAGACAAAATAAACAAGTTCCCTCATGTTATTATGCCAACTGCATTATGACATCAGGCTGACTATAGATGATTATATTGTTAATTATGCATTGGAATTTATTTGATAAAGTGTTTTATATTAAAGAAAGATATTGGTTATAATATTTGCTCTTGATCTTTCCTAACTTGAGCTGCCCTTGTCTTGACTGTCGAGGAACAGTTTCGGTTTTTTGTTGTTGTTGTTGTTTTTTGCTTCATACTATTAGTTGAACTCTTTACTTAACATAGAGTTAATCATATGTGTATGTACAAAGCCAATTGAGGATAGATTTCATTAAAAAAATAAGAGTGGGAATAAGAGAGGGAGGAAGAAGCTTGTAACTGTAAATCTGTATAGTTCTGCATACATTCCTAATTTGTTCTCTACAGTTTAATCTTGGTAACTGGATTATCTTAGTTTTCTGGAAGGACTTTATTCTTACTCTAAATTTTTAGTTCACATATTGGGTGCCTTGAAAGATCCTCTGCAGAGCCTTGGGAGACTCACCCCAAAGGCCATATGTGCAATTTGCAGAATAATATTTTACTGGTAAACATACTTCCCCAGGTATTTTATGTGGAACTTTGAACTCCAAACTGCTCTATAACATCAAATCAAAGAACCAGCCTTACAAGCTTGCCATATGAATAAAAAATGATATTAATATGTCCCTTTTGGATTAAGTTGCACAACCACAAAGGTGTCCATTTGTATGAGCTGAACTACTGTCTAGTCCTGGGACAAAGGGTGACTAATAAGCTCACTTAAAATGTGAGCTTCAGTTTAAACTGCCTGAACTGAATGGTCACCAAGTAGAAAACCCAAGAGCTCATTTCCTTGCTATACCATATTCGACCATATTCTGTAATAAACTACTCCCCATTAGTGGAGTAATCATATCAGTGATTGTGACTCCTTTTCAGTGAATTTTCATAATATGCTGCTGGACACAAAATCAAAGGAAAGCATGTAAACAAAACCAATGCAGTTTACATAATTTAGAAACATATTCTCTACTTTTTAGGAACACACTCAAAGGTTATGTCTACTGTATCATGTCAATTATGAGTTTTAAGGCATTTTTAATGATTCATTTCTCCTTTCAAAATGTGTTATCCAGTGCAAGCCAGGCTTCATACAGCATTTCAGAATTTATAAAGATCACTGGACTTAACTTTCTCTTTTAATTTGGCTGGAATAAAAAAGGTGAAGGATATTTCTTCTGGTAAACTCTCCCACCTCCCTTCTCGCTTTCTTATTTATCATTCTCAAGAATAGCTATAGGATCCTCTGGGAATATAACATCCTGAGATAGGGAGTGACTTCCTGGAATAGCTAGGGCTTTGTTCCTGTTCCTCCCAGAGAATGTAACATCATGAGTTGAGAAGAAATGCTCAGGACAGCAAAGGCACTGTTCTGTCTGCTGGGAATAGGATGTCCGTTAAAGCTTTAGCCCTGAGAGTCACATTACCCTTGAGCTGTGTGTGTGGTTCAAATAGGGAGACCCTAGCTGCCTTAGGCAACTTTCTTGAGCCTTGGGAAAGTGGCTCACAATAGATCTTAGTCTTCTGTCCCATGCTACACGTGTAAGTAGGAAATTCACTTCCTGTAGTGGCATATGAATATTATCTCACCAGATTCAGACAAGTTGGTGTCCAGAGGATGATTGAATGTGTTTCACAGAAAGACCTTTGTCTTTTGGGTAGATCGACAAAGATGTTTTCCCTTGCCCTTTTCCTGAAGTTCATGTAAGATTCATGGGTTCCAGAAAAAAAGGACAATAACCACATTGGAGATTGGAGAATGAGGAAACGTTATCGTTATGAAGCCTTTATATACCTCAGTATGGATTGTGACAAAGTTCATATAAGAAATTGGGCATACAAAAGGCACAGTCCATTGTCTCTCATGTTTTCTTTATTTCTTTTTCCTCTTAGATCATTTTGTAAAAGCTTGGGAGTCAAAGAGGAGCAGTATATACATACAGTAGGAAGACGTTGACAATAATAAATATTTCTAGGGATCAATGCAAGAGGGTAATTGCTGACTCTTGAGTTGGAAGGAGTTTCATGGAAAAGGCTGTTTGTGGTGAGTTTCAGCGACATTTACTATTAGTAAGAATTGTGCCTTGGGTAATTTCACTGGCTATGATATTGCCACTGAGCAAAGTGAGTGACAGTTTCTTTTTACAGATTTTACAGGCAACAGGGAAAACACTTTACTTTTGCATGCTAAATCTTCCTTTAGTTCATTAGAGGTTTCTCTGTGCAGTAAAGCACAGAGAAAAAGGGTTGGGATGGTACACAGAAGCCAGGGAATGCTTTCATTTTACTAAAATGGGTGGAGAGGGGGGTGGGAGGCTAAACAAGACTCAGCAAGTGACTCTTTGGAGAGCTCAGTCCTGCTAATCCCTTCCTCCCTCCCTCCAGGTTGCATTCCTTTTCTGAAACACCTGACCTTGCAGGGCCCTGTACAGAGCTGCTCCCTGCCCTGAGGTGGAAAAGTCCCTCTCTGGGGCCTCATCATGATGAGAACAGGCCAAGAGAATGTGAAATGAGGACTTTTTAAATTTAATTCAATTCAATTTAATTTAATTTAAATTTTTTTTTTTTTTTGAGCATTTCCCTACACCTGTGTTAGAGGGAGAGAATGGCTTGCATCTCTTTTGGAAACTTCTCTGTCTACTTGCTTTCTTTTTTTTTTTCTTTTATTTATTTATTTTTTTAGCTTTTATTTAATGAATATAAATTTCCAAAGTACAGCTTATGGATTACAATGGCTTCCCCCCCATAACGTCCCTCCCACCCGCAACCCTCCCCTTTCCCACTCCCTCTCCCCTTCCATTCACATCAAGATTCATTTTCAATTCTCTTTATATATAGAAGATCAGTTTAGCATACATTAAGTAAAGATTTCAACAGTTTGCTCCCACACAGAAACATAAAGTGAAAAATACTGTTTGAGTACTAGTTATAGCATTACATCTCAATGTACAGCACACTAAGGACAGAGATCCTACATGAGGAGTAAGTGCACAGTGACTCCTGTTGTTGACTTAACAAATTGACACTCCTGTCTATGGCATCAGTAATCACCCTAGGCTCTTGTCATGAGCTGCCAAGGCTATGGAAGCCCCCTGAGTTCACCAACTCTGATCATATTTAGACAAGGTCATGGTCAAAGTGGAAGTTCTCTCCTCCCTTCAGAGAAAGGTACCTCCTTCTTTGATGACCCGTTCTTTCCACTGGGATCTCACTCACAGAGATCTTTCATTTAGGGTTTTTTTTTTTTTTTTTTTTTTTTCCCCAGAGTGACTTGGCTTTCCATGCCTGAAATACTCTCATGGGCATTTCAGCCAGATCCGCATGCCTTAAGGGCTGATTCTGAGGCCAGAGTGCTATTTAGGACATCTGCCATTCTATGGGTCTGCTGTGTATCTCACTTCCCATGTTGGATTGTTCTCTCCCTTTTTTTATTCTATCAGCTATTCTATCTGTCTACTTGCTTTCTGCAGACATTACTCTTCACCAATGTCACAGGAGAAGTGCATAAGTGGCAGCAGCTAAGTCACATATCAACTATATTGAAAAACTGATAGTGTTTAATTGGGGCAAGAATATCTAAGTTTTTGTAAACCATTAGATTTTTTAGTGATCTCTAAGAAATTCAGAATTGTCTTTTAGAGGCTATATGAGGAGTCTTGCTTTTTTTATTCCTTGTTAGTCAATATGACACTTGAAAATTTTAGGTGTGATCTAGGCTATCTATGGGGTAAGGAGAGCTTGACATGAGAATGAAGTTTTTTCAAAGAAAGTTTAATCAGCAGAGTGAACCACTAATTTTGAATGTGAAGGAAATCAAAACTGGAGCATTTTGTATTCCTCAAGGGTAACATTTTTCAACATTATTATGCAAAGAATTGATAATGTCTGTAGTATTCAATCAGACTAGAAATATATAAAATATGTTGGTGTAATATTTCATATATCAAAATACATAAAAATGAACAAATATATAGCATTTACTTTATATATGTAAAACATACATAGCATATAAAGTTATATATAATGTATAAAGTGATTTCAATAAATTTAAATTGTCACGTTTCATTTCATTAGCATTGTAATATGTTTACTTAAATTTCTTAAAGATTTATCATTGTATATGGTTTCAACTTGCATCCATTTTGTTGCAAAATACAGGATTTCATTTTTTGGAAATTTATAAACTAATCAAATCATTGTTAAATATGAATGAATGACATTTTAAAAAATAAATGTTTAGTTTTTGCTTTTAAGGTTTATTTATTTGAAAGGCAGAGTTACAGAGAAAGAGAGATATAGGGAGAGAGAGATCTTCCTTCTGCTGGTTTACACCCCAAATGGCTGCAATGACAGTGGCTGGGTGAGGCCGAAGGGAGGAGCCAGGAACTTTCTCTAGATCTCTCTCTTACATACAAGGGCCCAAGCACTTGGCCATCTTCTGCTTTGCTAGGCATATAAGCAGGGAGCTAGATCAATTAATAGAAAATACATATTGTGAAAAAGCTATCATGAGCTTTAATTTTATTTTCACCAAAATGAACTTATATTTCAATTCTATTTCTGTGAGCTTTTTGAAGTTAGCTGGTATTTTTCTGAAGATTAGATTGAAGCTAAAGGTTGACAGAATTATTGGTAATAATAAAGAGAAACTGGAACTCATAAATGCTGATGGGAGAATAAAATTGTACAACTGCTTTGAATAATAGTTTGAAAGATTCATATAAGATTAAATATGTGTTTACCATATTGTTTAGAGATTCCTTTACTACAAACTTACACTAGAGATGTGTAACATATGACTACAAACAGGGGACTCCAATTTAATCCCATCAAGGTGGCATGTACCAATGCCATCTCACCAGTCCAAGTGATCAATTTCAGTTCACAACTGATCATAATGAAAGGACTAAGAGTCAAAGGAAGCACATAAACAAGTCTAGTACCTGCTAATACTAACTGATAGAATAAATAAAGGGGAGAGTGATCCAACATGGGAAGCGAGATACTCAGCAGACTCATAGAATGGTGGATGTCCTAAACAGCACTCTGGCCTCAGAATCAGCCCTAAAGGCATTCCAATCTGGCTGAAAAGCCCATGAGAGTATTTCAGGCATGGAAAACCAAGACACTCTGGCAAAAAAAAAAAAAAAAAAAAAAAAAAAAAAAAAAACCCTAAATGAAAGATCTCTGTGAGTGAGATCCCAGTGGAAAGAACAGGTCTTCAAAGAAGGAGGTACCTTTCTCTGAAGGGAGGAGAGAACCTCCACTTTGACTATGACCTTGTCTAAACAAGATAAAAGTCGGTGAACTCAAAAGGCTTCCATAGCCTTGGAAACTCATGACTGGTGCATAGGGAGATTACTGATGCCATAGACAGGAGTGTCAATTGGTAAAGTCAACAACAGGAGTCACTGTGCACTTACTCCTCATGTAGGATCTCTGTCCTTAATGTGCTGTAAATTGAGACTTAATGGTATAATGAGTACTCAAACAGTATATTTCGCTTTGTGTTTCTATGGGGGTGCAAACTGTTGAAATCTTTACTTAATGTATACTAAACTGATCTTCTTTAAAAAAAAAAAAAAGAAGAAATTATCAATTCCCAACTTGACTCTCACTGGGATTAAACATGACAATAGGTCTGATCTGATTTCATCATCATTTAAAAAATCATCTATTATTTTTCACTTTGTGTGGGAGCAAACTGTTGAAATCTTTACTTAATGTATGCTAAACCGATCTTCTGTATATAAAGATAATCGAAAATGAATCTTGATGTGAATGGAAGGGGAGAGGGAATGGGAAAGGGGAGGGATGCGGGTGGGAGAGACAATATGGGGGGGGAAGCCATTGTAATCCATAAGCCGTACTTCGGAAATTTATATTCATTAAATAAAAGTTAAAAAATATGTATAAAAGAGTGTTCATTACAATTTTGCTCATAGTAACCCCAAATAGAAAAATATCCAAATGTTCATCAACTAGTGAATAACAAGTTGTGGTATGGAATGTGTGATTGATACATGGCATCATGACATGCACATGTCAATACATAGATGCATTTCAGAGAATTATGTTGAGTGGAAGAAGCCCAAACATCTTTCTGATTCTCTTTATATGACATTTAAGAAATTAAAATCAAAACAGTGACTGTTTCTGAGGTGGTGTGGGTTGGGATACCTGAAGGGGACAGAAAGAGAATTCTCTTAGGTGATGGAAATGTTCTGTATCTTCATTCGTTGGTGATCATGTGGGTTTATATGGAACTTATTGAGTTGTGTATTTCAAACATGTGTACTTATAGGATAAACATATATCTCAAGTGAACAGATGATAGAAAAATTCTCACTGGATCTTGCTGGTTAATTTTACTTATCAACTTGACTGGGTTACAGGATGCCCAGATAGCTAGTTAATTATTATTTCTGGCTGTGACCATGAGAGGGTTTTGGGAAGAGAACAGTCTTTGAGTTAATGGACCGAGGAAAGCAGACCATCCTATTTAACTCAGCTCACTTTTGGCATCATCCAATTGGTTGAGGGCCCTAATAGAACAAAAAGGAGGAGAAAGATTGAGTTTTCTTCTGTTTGATTGCTAGACCTGAGACTTCTGACCACAGCTTTCTATCTCTCAGGCCTCCCAACTCTAACACTGGCTTTTCTGGATGTCCAGTTTGCAAAAGACAGATCCATGGGTTTTTCTACCCCATAATTGTGTGAGCTAATATCTAATAATAATTGAGGTGAATCAATTAATCAATCTATTTAATTAATTCATTTTATTCAATAGGGATATTGCATTTTTATTAGCCTAATTTTATTCACAAAGTATTTGAGATTATTGATATAAGCATTCAGAATGGAAATTGTATCTTAAGTTTAATAATATATGTTATAATTCCACTGTATTGAGAAAAAGCAATAGTTATATATGTTTCACATTTGTGCTGAGTGGAGCAAAACTATGTGTGCAGTATAAAGTCAAAATAGATGGTTGTGCATAACTTGGCTCATGAGTCCCTTTGTAGACAGTGATTGTATTTA